GCTGGTAGCTAATTGCCCAATTACTTTCTTTCTCCAGCAGAACCCTTCAGGCTGCCTAGAATCCACATCCGTGACCTGGCCCGAGTCCTGAGGAAGCCTGGGGAGTCTGGAGGATTTTCACTCTTGGTCTGTCTGCTTCTCACACTGCCCCGCCCCCACTCAGACCTGAGCCTGTGGACTGAGGCCCTGGTCTGCCTGGGGGTAATGCATAAGAACCCCAACCCCATTGGCCAGGACAGGGAGGGTGGGGACTAGAAATAGTTGGATGGTGCGGCAGGAACTCTGGCCTGGGAACAGGAAGACCTGACTCTCTGTGGGTACCCATCATGAACTGTGTGAGTTTAGGGACCTTGTCATCTCTTTGAGCCTCAGTTTTCTTGGCTGTCAAACCTAGGGACAGGAGAATGACATGGTGTTTGGTTTCAGCTCTAAACTTTCATTCCACAGTCTAGCAGGGAAAGCAGGAGGGTGGGATGCTGGCTGGACCAGCCCTAGTGATGCTAGATGTTCCCAGGCTCCCCTACTGCTTAAGGGTGGTTCCCCCAGACTGGGGCCTCAGTTTCTGGAGTAACCACAGACAGCCCAGAACCTCCTGCAGCACTAGGCGCCAGATGCCTTTCCTAGGGCCCTAGAGCAGCTCTGGGTATTTACTGACTGTGTGGCTCCAGCTCCCACAGGAGATTCAGTTATAGATTTGGTTCTGTCCTACCAGGGCCGTCCTGAGGGGCTAGCAAGACCCCTGAGGGAGGCGGGGAATCCAGGTGTGAAGGGTCCTGCCCCTTCTGTCTTCTCTGGAAAATGAGCTTCCCACTTAGCTGCTCACTTACCTTAGGTGTAGAAGGGGATCCTGACCACTCAGGGACTCTCAGAGCTCTTGAGCCCTGAGGTGTCTCCTGGTGAGAGACTATGTGGCCTTCCTTGGCCCAGGGACAGCAGGTCCCTGCAGAACCACTGCAGGCTCTTCGGTCTCACTGTGAGCTTCCAGGCCCTAGAGCTCCTGGTGGGGGCTCGGGGAGGGTCATGGCTTTCGAGGACAACCTGGGTGTTATATCCTTGGCACCCCCCACCCCCACCAGCGATAAGGCACAGGGCTTCCTGTCCACCAACAGTGAGGGTGGCTGGTATGTGTGGAGCAGCAGCACCGAAGAGCTTTCAGGAACTGAGGGCTATGGGTCTTTGTTTCCCGTAAATGTGACACTTCTGCACCTTTTGGTATGACTTAAGGCCCAAATGTTCTGCATCAAACAAATCCTTTCCCTGCTAATCACTTGCAAAGAAAGGCAATAGTGTTTTTGTTTTGTTTTGTTTGTTTTTTCGGTTTTGGGGGGAGTTGGGGTTTTTTTGTTTGTTTATTTTGCAGAAGGCTATGCTTGTCACTGAGAGAGTAGGAGACCTGTTTGGTGTTGGGGACCTTGTATTTTAGGAGATGTTCAAACCATAAGAATTGAGCTCCAGGGCTGGGAGTCTACCTCAGGGGTTCTGGTGCCTGCCTGGCAAGCTCAAGGTCCCGAGTTTGATCCCTGGTACCACACCACCCCCCTGCCAAAAAAAAAAAAGAATTGAGCTCCAGGGGTCTGGGGATTTAGCTCAGTGGTTTCACTGCCTGCTGCGCAAGCGCAAGGACCCGAGTTAGATCCCTGGTACCAAAAATAAATAAATAAAGTGGCAACAATATGACAACTTCCTCAAATTGATACATGTAACAGAGAAATATAAAGCCTTCAGAGCACGATCCACAAGTCCTATTAGCTGTTATGATTATTATTTATTTAGCTGCACTAGGATTGAATTCAGAGCCTCAAATAAGCTAGGGAGGTGCTCTACCAGTGGGTCACACCTCCAGTCCGGTCATGGCTATTCTTATTTCTCCTCCTCTTCTAAGTCCACCCTTACTCCCTATTAAAACCCCTCACAGATGTGTATGTACACATATAAGCACAGTGGATATCTAAATTGAAAATTTTATTACAATAAAAGAAAATAATTGAAAACCAAATAATTGGTTCTGAGGCCCAAAAATTACACTTATAAACTCACTTTTGCAGGACTTTAACAAATTTCGTAATTAATAACTATCGTGGTTCTCACAGTTTTCTTATTAGCTTTACTGTTGATATCACTAACTTTCTTTGGAGCCAAGGTTGTGATATCTTACACAAATAAAGCGCAAAAAAAATACCACAATGATGAATTTTTAACGCACTAACACAAGCACTGTATGTTGTATGGGTGAGAGCGGTACTTATACTGAAGCATTATTGCCCCTTTGTGTCTATGGGCGACATTTGACATGTAAGTTACTCTCAGCTCCTACAGGTTTTCTCAATCACTTTTGTTTGGACTATAGAGCAAAGTGATGAACACCGAGCAGATTTGTTCTGAACCTTGCTGTTCAAGTAGTGGAAAATTCAACCTTGGAGCCACTCGACAGACCAAGTTATCACTGTCCTGTCCCCTGCTCTGAACACACTTAGCCCATTGTTCTTGGTAACGTGTCATTCACCATGAGGTTTTTAGAAGTGTAAACATTCACTGCATTTTTGATCACCCCTTGTACTTTAGTGGTACTTTAGTTCCTCAGCGCTTCTGTTTGTGAACAATGCAGTTCGAGAACAGAAGCATTTGGCAAATTTTGCTTCTGTTCACAAACTGCATCCGGTGACATTGAACCTTATGGGGAAATCTGATTTGGTTCACAACCAATTTGATTTGTGACCAAAATCATGGAAAGAATTAAGTTCACAAACCGAGGTGCCACTGTATATGTGTGTATGCATGGTGGCGATCCGTGTGTGATGTTCTAGGCCCTCCTCGTCCAGAGGTTTTTCATCCTGGAGAGCTTCCTAGAGCTTCGGATGTGATATGAGGACTGAGTAATACAGCAGCACTGAGAGACCAGGGTATCCAACCACCTGGGAAGGGGAGGGGCTGATCCCGTCTCACCAGGGCCCTGGGTGCTCAGTGTGCAGTCCTCGTCAGCCTCCACCATCACTGCTCAACCCCATGTGGCAGAACACAGGGGTCAAGGATAGGGTTTCAGGAAGGGTCTCCTGTCACCTTCAGATACCCTGAGCAGGAAGGGGCCTCCAGAGACAGAGGCCCATGCCTGTGTCCACATCCCAGCCCTCCACCTGGTGAGGGCAGCAAGTCACTTCACCCCATGGTTCTGACTGCACTGAGAGAAGTGCCAGAAGCAGAGGACTCCTGCCTCCTGAGGGCTGTGTGGATCTGCATTCTGAGCTCAGAACAGGGATGGATTCAACTCATATTTGCTGGGCTGGGGTGCAGCTCAATGGGAAAGCACTTGCCTGGCATGGGAGAGGCCCTGGGTTTGTTCCTCAGCACCACAAAACTAACACAAAAGTGTGACATTAGGTATTTTGTGATTGATATTTTTATAAAAGGCACAACTCTGAGAATGTGAATTTCAAGCAGATACTAGCAACAGTGAACCCTTCTAGGATATTTATGAGGAGCCAGGCGTGGACCTAAACACCCTGCATATATTCATTTACCTAATCTTCATACCCAGCCTGTGAGGTGGACCGTCATTACCGTCTCCTGCTTCAGATGAGGAAGCCCGAGCATGAAAGGTTGAACAAGTTGAGAGCAGGTCTTACAAGCAGCATAGTAGAACTCACCTCTCTGGACACAACATGCCCCTGGGCAGCGGTGGCCTCCACTTTCCGGTTTCTGTCTTCCTGTGTCTGAGAATGGCTACGGCTCGAGCCTCACTGCTGGTGAGAACCAGCTCACTGGGTAGACTCCTCCCCAGAAAGAACCTGCTGTCTGCAGGGGGCTTACTCTGTGGTCATCTAATTGCCAAAACACCCACAGGAATTGCTTTTCCTGGGATTGCCAAAAAGTGTCCAGCTGCCAGATTTCTGTCTGGACAGCACCTAACGTACTCTGTCAGGGAGGAAGGGAGGAACTGTCACAGAATCGGAGGGTCCCTCAGGGGAAAGAGGAGGTGGATGCAAAGACTGAGGGGCACAGGGAGACCCTCCCAACCCTAAGGAAATCTGTGAATGTGGCCAGAGCCAGCAGGAATGCAGAATATTTTCTCTCCTTGTCTTCTTTTATCTTTTTAGTCAGGGTTCAGACTGGCCTTGAACTTACTATGGAGCCCCAGCTGGCCTCAAACTTGCAGCCACCCTTCTGCTTCAGCCTCAGAGCGCTAGCATTACAGGTGTGCACCACTACAGCTGGCTTTTTGTTATTATTATTTATTTATATTTAATTTGGGTTTTCTTTTTTTTTGGTACCGGGATTGAACTCAGTCGGGTCCTTGTGCTTTCGAGGCAGGCGTCGGCACCACTGAGCTAAATCCCCAGCCCTTGTTTGTTTGTTTTTTGAGATAGGATCTCACTATGTATTCCAGGTTGGCATCAAACTCCATCCTCCTACTGCAGCCTCCAGAGTGGTGAGGTTACAGCCATGTGCCACCACACTCAGCTCCTCCTTCCTTCCATTTGTTGATTGATTATTGATTAATTGCAGTACCGGAGTCAGAGCCCAGGGCCGTCTCACTGATCTACATCCCCAGCCCTTGATTTTTTTTAGGCCCATCTGGGCTCAAACTTTCAATTGTCCTTTCTCAGCCTCCTAGAGGGGTGAGATTACAGGCGTGTGACACCAGACCCAGCTTCCTCCTTGCTTCTTGATGAATAAACCTAGACTCAGACTGGCCTCCAGAAAGAGATTTACAGAGATTTAAACAGCTGGTCTCTTTTTCACAGAATAGCCTCCCCTTTTCATGAACAAGCCCAGGGTAGAGCCGGGGAAATTCAACAAGCCCTAAAAATACTCTTGTGCCTTCAAGGCAGCACAACAGAAACCCTAGGCTTGCGTGGTATCCAGACAGCTCTTTGTATGCCTTCTAGACAGCCCCCTCCCCAGAGCTCTGGGCTTGTCTGGCTGCTGAGCTCCTAGGAGGCTGAGGGTGTGACCTCCCGCGCTCCCTCCCTCCCTCCCTCCCCAGGGCCAGCTATAAAGCTGACCCAGCCCTGCCCCTCAGCAGACCCAGTGGGCTCAAGACTCTCCTGGAACCACCTCCTCTCACCCACAGCGGCTGGTGGGCAGCGCCATGCAGCTTTTGTGGCTCTGCTGGGTACTCTGGGTGCTGCCCCTGGCCAGCCCTGGGGCAGCCCTGACAGAGGATCAAGTCCTGGGCAACCTGCTTCAGCAGCTGGGGCTCCGCCAGGCTCCCGTCCTGGACAAGGCCGAAGTGCAAGGGCTGTCCATCCCTGCTCACGTGAGGGCCGAGTACGTGGCTCTCCTGCAGCGTAGCCACGGGGACCGCTCCCGCGGGAAGAGGTTCAGCCAGAACTTTCGAGGTGAGCTCCTGATCCTGGCCCCTGAGAGAAAGATGGGTTTGCCCACTGTGGTGGTGACAAGGGGCCTTTGCTTTGTGAGGCCACCATCTAAGGGGCTGTGAGGAAGGACCATGGCCTGCGAGGATGCTTAGCGCCAAGAGGAGGTGCGGGGCTGGACCCACTGGGGAAGGGAAAACTAGGTCCTGGAGGAGGGGAGAGGGGTGGAGTTACTTTCCGCCTGTGGGTGGCACAGAGGGACACGTCCGGCAGACAGCTGGGGTGCAGGCAGGACTTCCTGGGGTCTGCTTCTACCCTGACTTGGAGCAGTCGATTTAACATCCTTTCAACCGTTTGCTCCCCTGGTAGAGTGAACCATTATGTCCCCGTGTCCCAGTCCCGTGCGCACGGGTGAGTGACCCTTGGCAGTGACAGCTGAGCTGCTCAGCAGCCGGGGCGCCTCTTCCCTCCTGGGGCTGCCGTCCTGCCTAGGCTTGAGCTGGATGGAGGGGGTGTCGGGGTACGCCTGGCCCACGGTCCAGAACCGCCTCCTCCTGCGGGGCAGAGCCTGGAACTGGACCCCGGGTGTCCTCCCAGGGGAAGGCTTAGGTGAAGTCCATGCCGGAGGCTCAGGACGAGGACCGGTCTCTGGCGGGCGGCTGAAGGCTGCCACCTTCAGCTGCTCTGGTGCCCGAGCAGCACGGCTGACACTGCTCGTGTCCGCAGAGGTGGCCGGCAGGTTCCTGGCGTCCGAGGCCTCCACGCACCTGCTGGTGTTTGGCCTGGAGCAGCGGCTACCGCCCCGCAGCGAGCTAGTGCAGGCGGTGCTGCGGCTCTTCCGGGAGCCGGCGCCCAAGGCCGCGCTGCGCCGGCTCGAGCGGCTGTCCGCGCGCGGCGCCCGGGTCCGCGTCACCATCGAGTGGCTGCGCGTCCGCGACGACGGCTCCAATCGCACGTCCCTCATCGACTCCAGGTGGGACCTCGACGGGCGGGGCGCGGGGCGCGGGGCCCGGGGAGGGCGGGGCCCGCTCACCTGCCCTCTGCCGCAGGCTCGTGTCCGTCCAGGGGAGCGGCTGGCTGGCCTTCGACGTGACCGAGGCCGTGAACTTCTGGCAGCAGCTGCGCCGGCCCCGGCAGCCTCTGCTGCTGCAAGTGTCGGTGCAGAAGGAGCTGCTGGGCTCGGCGGCCGCCGGCGCCCACAGGCTGGTCCGCTTCGCGGCGCAGGGCGCGCAGGCGCAGGGAGAGCCCCAGCTGGAGCTGCACACGCTGGACCTGCGGGACTACGGGTGGGTGGGCCTGAGGGCGCGGGCGAGGCGGACCACCCGGGGCGTAAACATTTTAGGGAAAGTATCTTCTCGCATGTTCATATCGTCCTTGCATTGTGTTTATCTATTTTCTATTGTAATTGTCTATTTTCACTTTACCCTTCATGATTAAGTCTTTGAAAATACTAGCTTAAGCTATAACTGAGGCTGAATTTGTTTTGGTTCCGGGGATCGAACTTGGGACCTTGCGCTTGTGCTGCAGGTGCCAGAACCACTGAGCTAAATCCCCGGCCCCTTGAATTCTTTTTTTCATGGGACAAGTTAGCTACTGGGGGCATAAAAAAGGGCTGTAGGATATCCATGGGTTCCTCATGTGTGGATTCAACTAACCAAAGTTCAAAAATATTTATAAAAATCTCATCTTACTGAACCTGTAGCCATATTTTTTCTCATTATTCTTCCTGAAACAATACTGTAGCAACTATTTTCATAGCATTTACATTGTTGTAGGCATTATAACTAACTAGGAGATGATTTAAAGTATGTGGGAGGAGACATGGCAATGCATGTCTGTAAGCATGGCTGCTCAGGAGGCTGAGGCAGGAGGGTCACAAGTTCAAGCCCACCCTGGGCAATTTAGTGACACAGAGAGACGTTGTTTCAAAATTCAAAATAAAAAAGTCCTGAGGATATAGCGTGGTTCGATGGTGGGAGACCTGTGGCAGGAGAGCTACAGCAGGCTGTTTGTATCTTTGATAGCTCTGAAAAGTTCTCCATCACTGGCTTAGGGTGAAGGCTTCGGGGTCAATCCCCGGTACTGAAAAAAAATGAAGTCTGTAGGATGATATCTGCAGGTTATATGTGAACACTGCACCATTTTACACAAAGGATTGAGCACCTGCAGGTTGTGGCATGGGGGCCTGGAGTCCATCCCTGTGGATTTCCGATACTCCAGATGGCTGTGTGGTGGCTAAAACCAGGCCTTAGAAGCCAGAGAGCATGCGCTCCATGCCAGTGTTGCCTTCTCAGCTTCAGGTCATTAGGCATCTGCAGGTGTAGGAGAGAGGATGTTGGTGCCTCTCCAGGGTCTGTCGTGTGAAGTAGCTAGTTCAGTGTCTGGAGTGTTAGCGGCCTTTCATCAACAGTCGCTGACTTTATATTCTAGATGGATTTAGTCGTTTGTCCTCTGGGACCCAATATCCAGCTCTTTAACATAAGAAGACATGGGTAGTCTTCCCAGATGCCCCCACGCTGGAACCTGGGCCTTCCTGACTTCAGCCCTCCCAGCCGACCTGACTGCATCTTCTTTGCCCTACAGAGCTCAAGGCAATTGTGACCCCGAGGCAGGGGTGGCCGAGAGCACCCGCTGCTGCCGCCAGGAGACCTACCTGGACCTCCAGGGGATGAAGTGGGCTGAGAACTGGGTCCTGGAGCCCCCGGGCTTTCTAGCCTACGAGTGTGTGGGCAGCTGCCTGCAGCCCCCGGAGCACCTGACCTTCACCTGGCCGTTTGTGGGCCCACGGCAGTGCATTGCCTCAGAGACAGCTGCGCTGCCCATGATCGTCAGCATCAAGGAAGGAGGCAGGACCCGGTCCCAGGTGGTCAGCCTGCCCAACATGAGGGTGCAGAGGTGCAGCTGCGCCTGGGATGGGGCACCTGTGCCAAGGGTGCTTGAGCCGTAGGTGCCCGACACAGCCAACTGAGCCTCTGACCAGACCAGCACAGAGAAGCAGGTCTTATTGTGGGTCTTGGTTTGTTTGTTTTGAGACAGAATCTCGTTATATGGCCCAGGCTGCCTTAAACCTGAAATCCACCTGCCTCAGCCTTCTGAGTGCTGGGATTACAGATGTGTGCCACCATGCCCAGCTTTAATGTAGGTTTGAATTTTTCACTTAGCAATTACCCTTGTCCCAATTTAGTGCCCTGTATTACCTTGGCCCTGTGTTCTTCCATTTCCTGTCCTTATTGCCATGCACTCATCCTAAGCACTTAACACTTCCCATCATGCAGCTCAGAGGGTGAGCTGTAGGAAGAAATCTTGGCTACTTAGCAGAGGATCTGGCTGAGCAATGGACAAATTTTCAGCTCAGAAAATTGTTCTCTGGAAAATTCTCAACTGGAACAAAATTCTGCTGAGAACCAAGGAAACAGAGCACATTTACCCTATTACATGAATTAAAACAATTTTTAATTTTTTTCCTAGATAGGATGGATATTTGAAAAGGAACCCCCTCATTCCCTAAATACATCCTTAGATTTCCTGTAAACATACCTAGGTTCTCAGTCCCTGGGAGGGTGTGTGGAAGGAGGATGCAGGGTTTCAGGCTGGGACAATAGACAGAAACAGGCCACCTGTTTTCTGGATTAGACAGGGACACAAGCTGGGACCTCAGGCAAGTGCAGAGGTTTCCTGCCACTGACCCAGGGATCTGATAGTCTCTAGCATCACCCACTACTCCAGAGACTAAACTGCCTGTGCATATTTGGGTTGCCCCCACCATTTTAGAGAACCTATCACCAGAAACCATGGGTGCTTACCTGCTGTTTTCTGTATTTAGCAAAAACAAGTAAATGTAGATAATCTGAAGAAGCAAAATAAAAGTGATATTTTACTGTTTCTGTACTTAATTTCTGGTGCTCGTTACATAGGAGAGAAAGGAGCAATAATGGGGAGAGAAAGAGGGTGAACAGGGACCTTCAACTTCTAGGGGCAATGAGTATAATTAAACTTATTTTAGGATGGAAATCTGATTCCAAAACCAGAACTGTGAACAATCACCCACATAGCCTCCTCTTTAGACATATTTTAAGCTGTACAATTGTGGACGTGTGGACAGAAACCAGAGCGTCTGAGGCAGGAAAGTTCACCTCATATATGTCCCATATGTTACATCACTTAATTCTTGGAACTATCTCTAAAGGTCAATATTTCTGTTTTCAGATGAGGAAATTGAGGATGAGGCACCCCATATGATGGGTTATAAACTCCTTCCAACCCCAGTCCTTAGTGAATGAGCTCAGCTGATGATAGGCATTGGGCTGGGGGTATAACTCAGAGGTATAGCGCTCGCCTAGCATGTGCAAGGCCCTAGGTTCCATCCTTAGCAACACACACACATGCACACACTCACACATGCACAGACATGTTATTTGGAAGCTGTCACATCTGACAATTCCCCTGCATTTGCCTTTCCTACCTATTGGGGTTTCCTTATGCCTGACTGGAGAAAATTGTAATTCAAGTTCATGGACTCTGTTTCTTACCCACAGGATAATTAATACCAACTGAATAGTGGAATGAAAACATTGAGCAAAAAAGTTGTGTGAGGACAGCTAGGATTTGAGGAAAGCAAGGATATTTTTGAGGGCTGGGGATGTTGCTCAGTGGTGCTGGGCTTGCCTGGAAAGCTCAGGGTCCTGAGTTTGAGCCCTGGTACGGGTGGGAGGGGCAGTTCTGAGGGGTGGGGAAAAGGATTTGGCATATGGCTGCTTAGTCTGTAAGAATGGTATGGGTATTGCCTGAAGAATCCTGCCAGCTATTTAGTGATGTGCCTGTGGCTCTGGACAGTTTATGGTCTCCCAAGCAGTCACATGCAATCAGTGGCAGGGATGGGCCTGATCATATCAGGCTGAGTGTGGCTTTAGAAATCCAGGAGATGAGAGCTTCATTTCAAAACATAAAATTGTTTTTAGTAGTATAGGAAGACGTTGTGTGGTAGATAGAATGCTTTCTAAAGACTTCCGAGCTCTGGTCCTTAGAACCTGTGAATATGGCAAGAGGACTTTGCAAATGTAATACAGGCTACAAATATTAATAGAGTTCTGTGGATTATGTGGGTGTGCCTAATCGCATGAGTCCTCAAAGCAGAGAACTTTCTCTGGCTGAGGTAGGAGAGTTCAGGTGGAAAGCAGAGGTCAAGGCTGGGCACTGTGGCACATCATGTAATTTCAGCACTTTGGGAAGCTATGGCGGGGGGGTCGCTAGTTCAAGCCCTAGTTAGAGCCTGGACAATTTACAGAGACCCTGTATCAAAATAAAATAATAATGATAATAATAATAAAGGACTGGGGACATAGCTTTTCTTTGGGTTTGACCACTGGTACCAAAAAAACCAAACAACAACAAACCCCCCAAACCAGACACAGCATAATCTTTTTCCAAGCATTTCAGTGACTTTTACTGTGTATTTACTTAATTGTACTATAAGTAGTTGGTTTGTATGGATTTTTTGGGTATTTACTTAGTTTTATATAAGTAGCTAGTTTGGTTTGAATAGTTAAAAGTCCAAAGGTAAAGGTTTATTTTTTCTTTTGTCTATGCAGTTGTTTATTTTGATCTGTTTGATCTATGTCTGGAGCAATGTTGTCTAACAAACTTGAATTTTATTTTTCTGCATTTTTCTAACAAAAAATTAGAATCAAGTTTAAGATATAGACCGGGGATTTAGCTCAGTGGTTCCGCCACCTGCCTTGCAAGTGCAAGGACCTGAGTTCAATCCCTGGTACCAAAAAAAAAAAAAAAGGTATGTTTTACTGTGTAGGAGTAAGAAGGGTGGAGCTTTTTACCAAGATTGCGCAGAAGGCGAAGAAGGAAGCTCCTGCCCCTCCCAAAGCTGAAGCCAAAGCAAAAGCTTTGAAAGCCAAGAAAGCAGTGCTGAAAGGCATCCACAGCCACAAAAAGAAGAAAATCCACACGGCACCCACCTTCTGCTGTCCCAAGACACTGCGGCTCTGGTGGCAGCTGAAATACCCTCGGAAAAGCACCCCAGGAGAAGCAAGAGTGACCACTATGCCATCATCAAGTCCCCTGACCACAGTCAGCCATGAAGAAGATGGAGGACAGCAGCACACGCATGTTCATTGTGGACGTCAAGGCCAACAAGCACCAGAGCAAACAAGCTGTGGAGAAGCTCTGTGACACTGATGTGGCCAAGGTCAGAACTCTGATCAGGCCTGACGGAGGGAAGAAGGCGAATGTCCGACTGGTTCCTGATGACGATGCCTCAGATGCTGCCAACAAAATTGGGATCATCTAAACTGAGTCCATCCAGCTAATTCTAAGTACACATTATTTTCACCATAAAAAAAAAAAAAGAAGTGTGGAGAGTTCTTCTCCAAAAGCATCATATCGGTTTTCCTTAGGTGATGTAAGATTAGAGACAGTATCAGTGGCCTGGAGTGTGGCTCAGGGGTAGAGCACCACAAAAGAAAAAAAAAAGAGACAATTCTCCTTCCCATTTGATCTATTTTCCTATAACAAACAAGGATTATTTGTGTGATAATAAAAATAAATGCAAAATATCCCTCCTGAAGTGCTTTCTACATCAGGGAGCATGGGGCCAAGGCACTTGCCGCTTGTCTAGTGGAGGTGCTCAGGCCTGAGTCATCTCCATTCTTAGAAAAGACAGGCCTGCTATTTAGATAAGCAGGACAGCAGAGGCCCCGAGGGCCTCAGAGTGAGGAGGATGTGAACCAGTAAAGCCAGAGTGTAAGTGCTGTACTCTGACAGCTGGAGCGGGACAGTCCAGGGCTGAGGGCAGAGAAGAGGGCAGGGCAGGCAGGGCTGAAACCACTTGACTGCTCAGTGGGAGGACGGGGTAGCTGGGTGAGACAGGCAATCCTGGCAGCAGTAGATACTGGCACTGAAGTGGGCAGGTGCCAGAGGTGGAAAGAATACATCTGTGGGAGGCTGGTAACGTGAGGCTCGGGCCTCCTGTCTTCCAAGTGGCTACATAGGGACGGTGACCCTTGTGCACCTCCTCTGATCTATCAGTTCACCCTGAAGGACCTTCATAGGCATCAGGTGTAATTATCTTGGTAGACATAGAGCTGAAGAAAAGAGAAAAAATGTAAATGAAATGTAGAGAAATGAAATGCAAGGGCCGGGGATTTAGCTCAGTGGTTCTGCCACCTGCCTCAAAAGCGCAAGGTCTGGAGTTGGACCCCTGGTACAAAAGAAAGGAAGGAAGGAAGGAAGGAAGGAAGGAAGGAAGGAAGGAAGGAAGAAAAGAAAGAAAAGAAATGTGAAGAGAATAAGATGGAATTATCTACCATTAGAATGGATAATAAGTGTGCATTGGCTGGGAGCGCAGCTCAGTGATAGAGGGTCTGCCTGACAGCCAAGGAAGGCCTGGATCCGGTCCCCAGCACCCCACACACACACACACACACAAAAAGAACGGAGAAAAATTGGGTGCATGTGAACCTTAAACTTTGCAGATGAAAAGAATAGATTTCAGGGTACCACCAAAACTCATCTTTTTTTTTTTTCAGTTCAGGGGATGGAACCCAGGGCCTTTTGCTGGCTTTACTGCTCTCAGACTCTGCCACTGAGCCGCTGAGTCCCATAACCGGCCTCTGGCCAGCACCTCCCATGCTCAAGCTTTGGACAGTGGCTGCCATCGCTGGCCCTTTCCTTATGCTGCCTGGTCTTATATTGTTGGGGAGGAAACCAGCGCTAGAGTCACCAACACAGGCTCCTTCCCCAGGCTCTTGTAGTCCTTGTTTCACCTCTGGTCCTGGAAGCTCAGGCAGGAGACACCAAGCCATCTAGCTAAGGGTGGGTGTGTTCGGGGTAGGACACACATTTACCTCTGGTACAGGGCCGGTGGGGCCTCTGGTGGACTAGGAGTAGTTTTGAGCCTCTCTTCCGGGAACTTGTACCATTAGGAAGTGGGTGGTGAAGAAGTGTGGGCCCATTGTCCCCACACAAAACACTTCTACAAGAAAGAGGCACTACAAGTGAAGGAGGCCCGCAGAGGAAGGACAGAGGGACGGGCTCAGCAGTATGCCGTTCTAGCCCCACCCTGCAGATCTGACCTCCTGTGGGTGCTCCCTCTAGTGAGTTCCCCTTTCCTTTTGCTTTCCAAGGCTAACTGGAGCGGTCAGGTTTCTGGTTTCAGAGCCTATGGCTGGTTGCAGGGCTTCCACAAGGGCTTTTAAAGCTCCAACCAAATAGCTAAGATGCAGAATCAGCCTGGGTGTCCATCCAAGCATGAAAAGATAGACCAGTAGGCAATGTGGTACATACACACGATGCGATATCACTTTCCCGCAAAGCTGACTGAAATCCTGTTATTGGCGCCAAAATGGGGGACATTGGAGGACATTGTGCTAAGTGAAATAAGACAGACACAGAAAGACAAGTGTCACATGTTTTCTCTTATATACAAGTTAAAAAAATAAGCAGCCAATTTGAATGTAGAAGAGATCACCAGCAGCTGGGAAGTGGAGGAGGATGGATAAAGGGAGGCTGGATTTCATTAGTATATGCATGTAAGGGAATATCACTCTGAACCTCATAATATGCATAATTAATACACATTAATCAAGCCCAAGAGGCCAGGAACGTAGCTCAATGACAAAACACTTGCCTAGCATGTGCAAGGCTCTGGGGATTGATCCCTTGCATCACCAATGAACTAAACAACAAAAAATGTCCTAAACCATTGAACCCTAGAAAACCTTTAGAGACTCACATTAAGGAAATAATCGAGGAGTCACGCAATGGTCTCATCATAGTTCTATGAATACTAACTTTAAAAATTGGGGGGCCGGGGATTTAGCTCAGTGGTTTCACTGCCTGTCTCCCAAGCACAAGGACCCGAGTTTGATCCCTGGTACCAAAAAAAAAAAAAAATTGTTATGTGAGGGGGTGGGGGATTTAGCTCAGTGGTGCTGCCGCCCGCCTTGCAAGCGCAAGGTCCTGAGTTCGATTACTGGTACCAAGAAAAAAAATTGCTATGTGAGGACAGGAACTGTTCTGTTTGAGTCACAGCTGTATACCCAGAACCTGGCTCAACTAATTAGCCTAATTTTAATCTCTGAAAACACTTAAGTTAATAGGGGCACATCCACATAATGAAATGATAATCATTAAAATCTTACTTTCAAGGCCAGGGATTTAGCTCAGTGGTGCCCTGCTTGCCTCACAAGCACAAGGTCCTGAGTTTGATCCCTGGTACCGCAAAAAAAAAAAAAAAAAAAATCTTAATTTCAATAAATGTTTGTTGATATCGGGAAATGCTTACATCTACAGTAGACATATCAAAACAACATGTGGATTTTTTATTTCCGGTGGTGAGAAAATGAGAAAAACGTGTATGTATAGAAAATAATAGTGTAAAGAAACAAGGTTGGCGTGGTGATGCATATCTGTAATTCCAGCATTCTGGGAGGCTGAGGAAGCAGGATCCCAAATTCAAGCACAGCCTGGGCAATCTGGTGACGTAGAAACCATGTCTCAAAATTAAAAAACAAAATAGGCTCGGGATGTAGCTCAGTGTAAAGGACCTGGGTTCAATCCCCAGTACTGAAAAAATAAAAACAAAAACCCCTCAAAAAAGCAAAACAAAACATAGCCAGGTGTGGTGGTGCACACCTCTAATCCTAGCACTCTCAGGAGGCTGACGCAGGAGGTTCACAAGTTCGAGGGCAGCCTGAGCTACACAGTGAGTTCAAAACCAGGCTGAACTACAGATAGTGAGGCTCTGTCACAGAAAATAAATAAAAATATAAATAAAACAAAAAACACCAAAATGTGTGGAAGAAACTCTTCTTAGAAAGTATGATTGTGGGTGACTCTTTCGTTTTGTGAGACAGAGTCTGGCTATGTAGCCTATCTAGGCCTGAAATTTGCCATCTTCCTGCCTCAGCCTCCCTACTGCTGGGTGCCACCATGCCCAGCAGTTTGTGGGTGATTGCGACATTCTTTTTTTTTTTTTGAGACAGAGTGTCACTATGCGGCCCAGGCTGGCCTTGAACTCACTATGTAGCCTAGGCTGGTTTCGAACTCACAGTGATCCTCATATTTCAGCATCCGGAGTGCTGGGATTACAGGTGTGCGACCCCCCCCATTATTTATATTTTTATTTATGTTCCAGCTGGAAACCAGGACCTACACTGAGCTGCACTCCGAGCTGTGCTGCTGAAATTAATATGTACGTAATCATTTTCTTTTCTTTTTTTTTTTTTGGTACCAGGGATCGAACTCGGGTCCTTGAGCTTGCGAGGCAGGAGGCGGAACCACTGAGCTAAATCCCGGGCTCAGTGATAACGTTTTAGATACTCTGTCGCTTGTTCCTTGAAGCCCTCATGCTTGTATTTACTACTGATGACACAAGCTCTGGAGCTTTTCAAAAACCAGCGGCCGCGGGGTTGGAGACTCGTGGGTCCTTCCAGCCCCCATTCCCGGGTGGAGGGCAGGTCCCCTGCTATCTGGCTGTGACGGTCGCGCGTGGCCCGCGCCAGTTCAAGCCCACAGACCGCCTCCGGTGGGAAGCAGAGCGCGGGCGTGAGCCGAGGCCTGTGGACCCGGGGCCCGGCTTTGGTCTCAGCCCACGGGTCCGAGCTCCCGCAGGTGGGGCGCATTCATCTCAAATCAGCGGCCTGGAGAAGCCCTCTTGGCTCCGAGGCGCGGCTGACAGTGACTGAACCACGAATTAGACCTTGACCGGCCTCGGCGGGGACTGCGCGCCTTCACAAGGAAGAAGAGCGACCCCCCACGGGTCCAGATCTGTTCCCTCCGCCCCCCCGCCCCTCCGCCCCTCCGCCCCCGCGTCAGCGGAGGAGCCGGGCGCACGGCCTTGGCCTGGCCGCGGATTGGTCCTCCCCGAGCTCCAGGCCGCGGATTGGTCCTCCCCGATCTCCCGGCTGCGGATTGGCCTCTGTCCTGACCACGTGGCTTGCGTTGGCGCGGCCGCCCGCCCCTTTTGTAGAGGGAGGGGCTGTGCAGCCCCGCCCAGGGCCGGCCCCAGGCCTAAATTGGCTTGGCGCGGCCTGGGTGTCTTCGGCTGCGACTCTTTCGGCGGGCGGTGACGCTCCTTCGCCTCGCCCTTCCTCTAGCAGAGTCTCCCAGCCAGTGCGCCCCAGGCTCCGTGAGCATGAGCGTGGGCTTCATCGGCGCGGGCCAGCTGGCCTGTGCGCTGGCCCGGGGCTTCACGGCCGCGGGTGAGCGCGTGGGGGCCCCCGGCCTGGGCTGCACCCAGCAGCGTGAGTGCACGCAGGAGAGACTGAGAGGGGACTTCGTGTCCTGCGGGGAGGGGAGGCTCGTGATGCCCGTGTAACCGATTGCTTGAGTGTCGGAGGCTGGCCCTGGTGGAGCAGTTGATCCTGCTTTCCCAGTGAAATCGTGACTACGCGGTGGGCTGTCGTCCGCAGTTCAAAAGCCCTTTTTATTCTGCAGGCATCCTGTCTGCTCACAAGATAATAGCCAGCTCGCCGGAAATGGACCTGCCCACCGTGTCGGCGCTCAGGGTAGGTGAGGCGGAGCGGTGTGAAGAGGGTGGAAGAGGCTAGGAAGAGAATGACCCGAGACCGAGTCTGGCTGGCCCCGGGTCCGCCGGCTGGCCTTCTCTCGGCGCCAGCATCCCCTCAGGGCCATCACAATCCTTCTGCCTTCCATGGGGCAGCTGAGTGAGGTGGGAGGCCCTAGGCAGGCCGACTTGGGTCAAATCCAGACACTGGGGTAGTTGGAGAATTAACGGAGGTGATGATACATGGAAAGCATCTGACACATAGTAGGCGTCTAATAAAGACTCATTCTTCTTCGTCAGTTCGTTGTGCGTTCTTGAAGTACTCAGCCAGGCAGAGGCTATTTCCTCATTTACGGTGCCCATTTTGCTGGTGTCCTGACGAATGAGTATGCTGGGAAAGAACCTGGCAAATTAGTTGTTCCTGTCTCCAAAAGCTTATTCCAAATCTTCCAAAGTCTGGGAGAGGTGGCTAAGGAGGCAAGTGACAGGCCTGGCTGTGCCTGGGATGCATGGGCTGATGTCCTAGCAGTGGAGGGCCTTGCTCCTCTGCTCGGGGTCCACAGAGAGGCCGTGTAGTTTGTCAAGTTGAGTGGCTGGGATTAGAATGAGACCCAACCCAGTCTCCAGCCCCAGGGTGCCAGCATTCCCCCTTTCCTTTTGCTCATACCCTGTCCACCATGGTGCTTTCTCATCCGACCGACCGAGGGGTGCCTTGTGTGTCAGATTGGTGAGGATGAGGGAGGGGGCAGCCCCTTCCTGACTACTGTGGAGAAACTTGGCATGCCCGGTACCTGCACTTCCTTACCCAGTAGCAGGATTAGAAGACTGGGGTAGGGTGGGGGACCCGAGGGCACGTGGCAAGGAACTGTGGCTGCAGCTGCCAGAGTGGGCTTGGTAGCTGCCCAGCACTGTTAGGCTGTCTGTCTCCTCTGTAGAAGATGGGCGTAAACCTGACCCGCAGCAACAAGGAAACTGTGCGGCACAGCGATGTCCTGTTCCTGGCTGTGAAGCCACACATTATTCCCTTCATCCTGGATGAGATCGGGGTGGATGTGCAGCCCAGGCACATTGTAGTCTCCTGTGCAGCCGGTGTCACCATCAGCTCTGTGGAGAAGGTGCTCATTGCCCTTTGTGTGAGGAGGGTGGCCTGTGAGTGGCAGCTGAAGGGTAGGAGCTGTGCCTTGGCCACTCACTTGGTCTTTTGTCTTGCTCCAGAAGCTAATGGCATTCCAGCCGGCCCCCAAAGTGATTCGCTGCATGACAAATACACCTGTGGTGGTGCGGGAGGGTGCCACTGTGTATGCCACTGGCACCCATGCCCTTGTGGAGGATGGGCAGCTCCTGGAGCAGCTGATGAGCAGCGTGGGCTTCTGCACGGAGGTGGAAGAAGACCTAATCGACGCCATCACAGGGCTCAGTGGCAGCGGGCCTGCCTATGTGAGTCCTTTCACTCACTTGCCTTGGGAGACCTAGGCACACAGCGAGATGGGCTGGCAGGCAGGCTTGGGCTGGGGGCAGTGCCTTCCTTTAGGGTGTGGCTGGCTGGAGGCAGAAGCGGACCCTTGGAGCTAGTTCCAGTCATTGCAAAAGCAGACCATGGGGAGAGCCATGAGTGCTTGTTCCTCAAGCTCAATGAGTGTCTTCCTAGGCATTCATGGCCCTGGACGCGTTGGCTGATGGTGGGGTGAAGATGGGCGTGCCTCGGCGCCTCGCAGTCCGACTGGGGGCCCAGGCCTTGCTGGTCAGTGTCTTTTTCCTGCATTCATGGGACCAGGGTGTCTGATGGAGGTTCTCCTGTGTCATTGAGCTGGGGACGGATGGTTGGGAAGCTGGTTGGAACTGGCCAGTAGTAGGGGGTGTGGGATAGCTTGTCGCAAGGTACACTGGTAGCTTTCTCCTCTAATGCTCCTTTGTGCCATAGGGAGCTGCCAAGATGCTGTTGGATTCGGAGGACCATCCAGGCCAGCTCAAGGATAACGTCTGCTCCCCTGGAGGGGCCACCATTCATGCCCTGCACTTCCTAGAGAGTGGGGGCTTCCGTTCTCTGCTCATCAATGCAGTTGAGGCCTCCTGTATCCGAACACGGTGGGTTATTTCAGTGTCCCTGGGCTGGGCACCATCTTGTGTTTCTTTTTTTTCCTGCTGCCTCAGGTCCTGTTAGCAGTGCTAGTCTGTGCTCTGTTGACTTTTTTGCCCAGTGTTCTGGCTTTGGAATGCCAACCATTTGGAGTTAATGGTATTTGTATCCTACTGGTCAAGGTCATCACCAAGATCTGATTTTTCAAATTCAAAAAATTGCAACCTCTGGAGTAAATGGGAAGCATCACTTATTAAACTTTGTTTAGTTAAGAGGTTTGCATGCCTTACGAAATTCTTACTATACTTCTGATAGCTGTTATTAACTTTGATATATAGATGGGGAAGTTCAAGGTCAAACAGCTGACAGGTGCTGGAGGCAGGATTCAGCTTCAAGTGTCTGACTCAGAACTCTAATTCACTCTCCTCCTCCTCATGATCGGATACCACTTGAGCTCAGATCAAATGAGATAAGACTTAGTTAAATAGTATTTCTACAAAGCTCAAGGGAGCGTTTGGTTTGAGATTCTAATATTTGGTGAAGTCAAAGGTCTGGGGCTACATGGATGGGAAATACTCAAAGCTCTGGCTGCAAGGCTTATTTCCTTTTTTGAGTTTGTCTGGGACTTTGCAGGGAGCTGCAGTTCATGGCTGATCAAGAAAAGATCTCCCCAGCTGCCCTTAAGAAGACCCTCCTGGACAGAGTGAAGCTGGAATCTCCCATGGTGTCTACACTGGCCCCCTCCAGCCCAGGGAAGCTCCTTACCCGGATCCCAGTCCCAGGAGGCAAGAAGGACTAAGGTACCCTCTGCCCTCCTCCCAGTGACCCACAACGGTTGGCAGAGCTCCCAGCTGTGCAGGCAGGGGGCACGTCCAGGCTTTTCAGGTCCTGGTGATAAAAACTCGAATTTCTTCACACCAAGCAGCTCTGGTTTCTTCTCATATCCCATGTGAGAAGATGCTCTGAAGGGATTTTGACACTGGAAGCTAGACACCGTGTACACTTCCGTCTGTTGGTGGAGAGAGGGGCTGGTACCTGTGTCAGCTCCCAGCTTAGTCCAAAGGTCTGGTCCTTCAGCTGGAGTCAAGGAGGTGAGAGAAATAACATAAAAAGGATTCTCTAAATTTGGAGAAGTGAGAATCGTTGTAATCAGGGCCAGGGATTTAGCTCAGTGGCACTGTGCCTGCCTTGCAAGCGCAAGGTCCTGAGTTTGATCCCTGGTACCAAATAAAAGAAAAAAAAAGAATTTTTCTAATTAGAAGTGTGTGGCATGCTATGCCTGTGTTTGATCCTTGTTTCATGGATGTATCATTTAGAAAGTGTTATCTAGTGCTGAGTGTAGCTGCTTTAATAAAGTTTTCTGCTTTTCTTATGCTTTGTTATCAGTCACTGTTCTAGAATACTCAAGACCCTTACCAGGTCCTTTCTGTACTGTCCAAGGGCAACAGGTATGGATAAGAGAAAGTACAGGGTCAGGCTCCGAGACTCATAAGGATTCTGCTCCAACTCTGTCCCCAGGGTCAGGCTCAATATACTATGTTTATGTTTGTGTTTTTTTGCAGGGTACTGAGAACTCAAGCCAGGGCTTTCACATTAAGCTACATCCCAATCCTTTAAAACTTTTTTTTTGGTACCGGGGATTGAACTCAGGCTCTTGTGGTTGTGAGGCAGGCGTGGTGCCACTGAGCTAAATCCCTGGGCCCCTTTTAAAATTTTTAATTTTGAGACAGGGTCACAAGGTGCACAGGCAGGGCTCAAACTTGTGATCCTCCTGCATCAGCCTCGCAGAGTACTGGGATTACAGACCACCACCTGGCTTGGCTAAGACACTGCATTTTGGGATGGGTCAGAGCTAATGGCAGAGAAAAGCTAGTGGCCTTTGTGAGGTGTGGGGCAGTATCCCAGACACAAAGAGACAGCTGTTGGCATTCTTGTAGGCTGGGAACCATGCCAGGTTCACAACTGCCCTATGAAGGGGACTGTTTGTTTCCTCACTTTGTAGAAGATGCCAAAGCCTGGGGAGCATACACTCCTCACCCTGGTTGTGCTACTAGTGAGCAGCAGGACTTTGTTCTTCGGCACAGAAGCTCCAGCCTCTTGGTGCTGTCCATGCAGCCTGGCTGAGCTGTGTTCCCCCAGCGGGGAGCACATGCCTGGTGCTTGTCCCCCCTCCAGCTCACTGCCTGTGCTGGGCAATGGGTCTGCTTTGGAAGAGGCACGGGCCTTGGGATCCACATTTCCTCTGAGTTCACTTGGCAACTTGCAGCCTTGGAGAAGTGATTGAGTATATCTCATGCCTAAATGTAGAAGTCACGCTTCATCAGAAACTTCCAGTGGGAGTTAATCATGGTGGACCCTTTGTGCACATTGATCTCTTCCTTCACCCTCAGAATGTCCTTACTCTGTTCCACTGAGTCAGGACAGCATTGGCTGTAACGCCAAACCTAAGAGTTCACAGGGAAACTTCATTCTTTTGGATCAACACAAAAAGTACAAAATTAAAATTCACTTTGAAGTCCTCAGCATATGGCAGGCTTCCTGCAGATGCTTCATAGAAACTCTCATTTTGGCCTTTGGCCAGCTGTCCAAAAAGATTTGAGGAAACATTTCACCAAAGAAGATATGCAGATGGCAGGGAGGCAGTGGTGAAGGTGTTCAACATCATTATCGATTAAGGAAATGCAAGTCAAAACTTAATACCACTGTAAATCTACCAGTATGACTTTTTTAAAGACAGGATCTTGCTATGTTGCCCAGGCTGGCCTTGAACTCTTGGGCTCAAGTGATCCTCCTGGCTCAGTCTCCTGAGTAGCTGGGGCTACAGGTATCCAGAAATGCAGTTATTCTCTCTTCTGTGGCCCCATGGTGCTAGGGATCCAACCCAGGGCCTCAAGCATGCCAGGAAAGTGCTCTCCTGCTAAACTACACCTGCAAATCCTGATTATTTTGGTTTGAAAAAAAGGCAAGTTGAGCAAGATGCCATATTCCTGTAATCGTAGTACTCAAAGAGACTGAGGCAGGAGTATCGCTGCAAGTTAGAGGCCAACCTGGGCTACAGAGTGAGTTCAAGGCCAGCCTGAACTATATAGTAAGACCCTGTCTTAAAAAAAAAAAAGGAATAACAAATTTTGGTGAGGGTTTGGAGAAATTAGAAATAATTTGTAATTATTTTACCACCATTTTGGAAAACAGCCTGGCAGTTCCTCAAAATATTTTATGCTTACTCTGAAATCCAGCATTTCCACTCCAAGGTATATATACTCAATAAAAATAAGTACATGTCCACACAGAAACTTGTATGTGAATGTTCATAGCAGTGCTGTTAATACCAGCCAACAAGGACTGGTAGTGTAGCTCACAGGGGGAGTGGACTACTTCCCTGATGCATGAAGTCCTGGATTGGATCCCCAGCACTTAAAAAGAATCAGCTACTGAATGGATAAACAAAATAATGTTATACCCTCACAGTGGACTAATATTTAGCAATAAAAAGGAAAATATAGCATTCTTGATCATCGTCCTCAGGGTTTTGACACTGAGTGACTTTATTTCCACAATTTATGTAGAGCTGGCGTTTAAAATCCTTGTAAGCTGCCACCTGCCTCACAAGCGCAAGGTCCCGAGTTCAATCCCTGCTACCAAAATAAAATAAAATAAAATTCTTGTAAGGATACTTCTTCACTTCTAACATATACAAACATATTCAAATGAGATGACATTAAATGTTCTTACATATGAAAGAATAGAATTATTCTATCATGCTATAAAATTATAATTTTAATGTGATTCCCACCCACAAAAGTCTACAGATTTAATTATTTTCTGGAGGTAAAGAAGTCCATATGCTCAATGAGTAAGCTGTTTTCTGTTACCATAGCTGTGTACCTCAGACTGGGTAATTTGTAATGAATAAAGGTTTATTCAGCCTGGGGTTCTGGAGGTCCAAGGTCGAGGGCTCCCACTTGGTGAGGGAACCACCATCTTCCTGGTGGGGCTACTCTGCACAGTCCCAAGGCAGAGGTGCATACAGAAAATGGGCCAACTGGCTTTTCTGAGAGTTCCACTGTACAGATGACTCAGTAAGCCATTAATCTATGGCTGAATTACTCCACTCATGACCTAACCGTCACTTAAAAGACTACAACACTACCAAGTATATAATATTTCATAAAGGAAATTAAATTTCAATTTGAGTTGTGATGTGGATGTTGAAACCATAGTAGTTTGTAAAAAAAAAAAAGTAAATGTAGCCAGTGAAACCCTGAAATATGAAGTCACTGTGGTCCAGCTAGCTCTAAAATATAAACCCTTTATGATGAAAAGATTATAATGGTGTTGGTGCACCTCCCATGACCGCGGCATCCTCCCGTGGGCAGGTCGAGGGGTGAGCAGGCCTCACCTTCCCGCCAAGCCTGCCCTAAGCGTCCCTCGTGCTGAGCAGCAGGAGTGTGCGGTGCAGCAGGTAAGGAGGGCTCTGCATGTGTGGTTGGGGCCAGCACAGACAGGGAGGCTGGAGGGAAAGGGCAGCCCACAACCAGGAGCCAGGATTAGGTTAGCATGAGCTGCAGGGTTAGCACTGTTGTTAGGTGTTTTTTAGGTTCAGGCTAGTTTTATATTAACCTCAAGATTGTAAAGAAGTATTTATGTTGGAGTTTGTATTATTGGTTGCCATATTATTAGGTTTATTGCTTACAATTAGGTTAGCTCTGTGAGGAAATCAGTAGAATTTTTATAAGATAATATATTTCTTAGGCCTACTTCACTTTCACCGCCTACCCTGCCTGGGAGAAAACTTTTAATTCATGAATTGCAGATTCAGATTATTTCTTTACATTCCTCTGTTTTGACAAAAAACTTCAATTAGTTATTTTGGGAATTTGTCAACTCGTTTGTCTGAATTTTCACAACTGGCATATGTCACAATCAGCCAATATAATTATTTCCCCTGAAAGTCAGTAGTATTTTAACATGAAATATAATTCTAGAGAGTTATATAATTTTTGAAGTAGTGTCTAATTTTTAGGGAAATATTGTTAGCAAAATGCAGGTGGTATATCATCATCTAAATTATATTTCTAGGAATTTCTTTAGCATACTCATTTGCAAATTCTTTTATTTATAATCTCTGTTTACATAGAATACCTCAGAACCATATTTCCCTCAGTGTAAATTACGGTTAAAATGTATTTTCAGGGGCAGCCCGCTCGGGACCCCTCCTGTCTCTCGGGAGCTACTCCTATTCTCCATTCCTATTCCCCAATAAACCTTTCCTACGCTTAAAAAAAAATGTATTTTCAGTTTTTTAATTTAGTGACACTACTTCAATTAAATTGTTTTTGTTTTGTTTTGTTTTGTTTTTGAGACAGAATCTCATTCTGTAATTCTGGCTGGCCTTGAACTCACTATGTAGTCCCTGCTGGCTTTGAATTCACAGTGATTTTCCTGCCTCAGCCTCCTGAATGCTGAGATTACAGGAGTGTGCCACCACTCTTGGTTTAAGCTTCTTGTTTACCAGTAACCACAGGATTTGTGTCTAACTTTCAATGCCAGTGAGTGATGACTGTCACAGTGCAGTTAAATGGCCTTCTTGCTGTTCAGTTGTTACAGGCCTAAGATTGTTAGAGCATCTTTGAATGTCTCATCTTTTTAATTTTTTAATTTTTTTTTTTGGTACCAGGGATCGAACTCGGGTCCTTGCGCTTGCACACAGTTGGTGAAACCACTGAGCTAAATCCCTGACCCGTTTCATCTTTTTTAGATTGTCAATAAGTACAGTTTGTCAAATAACTTTTGAGGCACTGGACATACCTGAATTGAGAATGATTTCATCTTTTACTTGCCTTTGTACTCACTTAACGTCAGGTAAAAGCATGTACATCTAAAGTGTGTACATGCCCTGTCTGGAATTCCCACACTTCTCCAATTAGGTCAGAGGTGAGATTGGGCAGGGATTTAGCTCAGTGGTTCCACCACCTGTCTCTAAAGTGCAAGGACCTGAGTTCGATCCCTGGTACCAAAAAAAAAAAAAAAGAAAAAGAAAAAACGATTTTGTTCCATAAATGCAGCCCCACTAAATATGAATATTAGCTCACAAATCAGTGCTGTCAAGGGAATGAGTAAGTAGAAAAACTTTCAACCAGTGACTTTTGATTCTAAATTATGTAGTGTAATCAAAGATAGTCATACAGAATTTTTATATTTTTCTTCGTACAGAGGTTATGTATTCTGGGTTTTTTTTTTTTGGTACTGGAGATCAAACTCGGGACCTTGTGCTTGTGAGGCAGGCAGTGGAACCACTGAACTAAATCCCTGACCCCTCTGGGTATGTTTTTAAAGGAAACATTTAATTTTTTTTCCCTTAAATTCTTTTAT